ATAGAAATCAACTTGAATCGAAAGGCAATTGATTAACAAGCAAAAAATGGATCAAGGGATTTGGGCAGGAGCAGGTTCAGCCATTGCCAGCATAATGTTCATGTGGGCAATGGCATCCCAATTCTTTCCCTCTCAATTAGAGACCCACATATACAAATACACAAGCAAGCTTCTTCGGGGTTTCTACCCTTTCATAGTGATCACCTTTGCTGAGTACAGCGGAGAGCGTCTGACGCGCAGCGAAGCTTACAGTGCTATTCAGGCTTACCTCGGCAGCTCAGCCGCCGAGAACTCGACGCGATTCAAGGCCGAGATGGACAGAGACGAGAAGATTGTGCTCAGCATGGATGAGCATGAGGAGGTTACCGATGATTTTGAAGGTGTTAAGGTTTGGTGGACGTCTACAAAGACCACAACCGAATCGAAGGGCTTTTCATGGTACCCCGCACCCGAAGAGAAGAGGTATTCTGTTCGGTCAAATTGTGTTTTGAATTTGTTTGTTCTCCTGTTTGGTTTGTTCCGACTGTAATTGCAAATGCAGGTGTCAGCTGCGTGTGTAGTTGCATTTTAATCCACAACTCCTGCAGACATAGTTTTTTATTAGGGCTTTTACTATGTTTTTGTATAAATACATACGTTGAAAGGATATTTTGGGAATTTTACTATGTTTTTGTATAAATACATATGTTCAGCCTACTGTTATTTTGTAAGTTGGACTTAAAAATAAATACAAAAAGATATTTGGGTTTATGGATACAACAAATAGTGATTGGGTTTATAGGTAAAGATGGGTAAACATTTGGGGCTAGAAATAAAAAAAAGCCCTTTTTATTATCAGTATCTGATCCGTACTCAATTCATTTATAACTATATACAGACATAGTTTTCTCTTGATGTTTCTTACATATACCTGATTAATTTGTAGAATCTAATCAAGGATTTATCAACAAGTACCAATTCCTCATAATTTTATATCTGAAAGATGAGCTAATATCTTATGATCCTGTGTATCAGATACTACCGTCTCACGTTCCACAGATCCCATAGGCATCTAATCCACTACTCCTACCTCCAACATGTCATCAAACAAGGAAACGCCATCAAAATCCAAAAGAGACGGCGCAAGCTCTACACGAACAAATCCCGCTACAGCCAAGACAACTACTCCTACACGAAACACGAATGGACCCACGTCCCCTTCGAACACCCAGCGACATTCGACCACATCGCGATGGACCCGATCAAGAAACAAGACCTCATCAAAGACCTCCTCACGTTCAGAGAGAGCAAGGACTACTACTCGAGAATAGGAAAACCGTGGAAACGAGGGTATCTGCTCTTTGGTCCGCCAGGGACAGGGAAATCCACGCTGATCGCCGCGATGGCCAACCTCTTGGACTACGACGTGTATGATCTCGAACTCACCGCGGTCAAGGACAACACGAAGCTGAGGAAATTGCTGATAGAGGTTACGAGCAAATCGATCATTTTGATTGAGGATATCGATTGCTCTTTGAACCTGTCGGGCAAAAGAGAGAGAGAGCATGGGGAACGGAAGGAGAAGAAAGACGACGGAGGCGGGGAGGAGGTGGACGAGAGCAAGGTGACGCTCTCGGGGCTCTTAAATTTCATAGATGGATTATGGTCAGCTAGCGGCAGCGAGAGGTTGATAGTGTTCACTACTAATTACGTCGATAAACTGGACCCGGCTCTTATAAGGAGAGGGAGGATGGATGCGCACGTTGAGCTCTCTTACTGCACATTCCAAGGGTTCAAGGTTCTTGCGAGGAACTATCTGGGTATTGAGGATCACGCACTGTTCGGTGAGATTGAGGGGTTGATGGATAAGAAGAACATTACGCCGGCGGACGTGGCCGAGAATCTGATGCCCAAGGCCAAGGGTCTTCAAGGGACGGGGAATGGGCAGGTCGAGGCTTGTTTGCGTGATTTGGTCCAAGCTCTAGAGGACTGTGAGCAAGTCTTAAAAGGGCGAGGAACAAATCTGGTAGAGGTTCGTTAAACGTAGTGCATTCCCTGATGAAGTTCAGTAATCTTATGTACGTTAAGAAATTAAGCTCTCAGAAGCTGCAGTGTGCTTTTATTTCTTCAGCGTTGTTAATTAATAATGATCTTCGGACGCTGCTGTGCACTGTACGCATCACATGCAGCATTTTGGTGCCCAACTAAAGTTGCAGGGTTTTGATTCTGGTGACCGTACGTATCTTTCAACAACGGGGTAACCATGCTCATGCTTGTGAAGGGTTTTTTTCGGATGGTAGTCCCTGTACGTATAAGTCCCTCAAATCACTAAATTTCTATTAGGTTCCTGAAATCCTAAGTTATATTTAACTTAGCCTCTCAAATCACTAAAATTGCTAGAAATTAGCCCCGCCAATCATGTCATGTGTCGAAGCAGCAATTGGAGGGATTAGTTTGAAACATCTTATGAGAATCTAAGAACCTAGGAGCGGTTTCGAGGATTTGGGGAACTAATTTCCCTCTAATTGCTACTTCCACTTTATGTGAGGGGCTAATTTCGAAATAACTAATTTTTGTACATGTCTTGAAATTTCTAATCTTTTATTTGATTCAACATGATTATAGGAAAGCAAAACCCAGAATTTATAATTTTTTATCTGTTCCGAACCCAAAAATATAGAAAAGTAGAAATTGTATGGATATTTAATGTCAAAAATTTTAGAATCTGGCAAATCCTCTCTAAATTGTAGGATTTAACAAATCCCGAAAGATCCTACTTTTTTCATTTTATGGATACTAAATGCTAAATTATTTTTGAAACAAACACTCTCCGAGAATTTCAAATTCACCCTAAATACCAAATTTTTTGTTGAATCAAACTGACCCCCCTATTTACCACATATAAATTTGAAATTTAATTATTTGAGGATTCATTGTATCGCTTTGACATTGTCTTAAATCCAACAACTAAGCTCAGATGCGTGATGTGATAGATCTACATCATAAAACTTGAGATCTAAAACCATATAGCCATGATTAATTCAAAGAGATTAACAAGATCAAAAGAGCGGAAGCTTATACCTGAATCCATGGATGAACCTTGAGATGGGTTTTGGATCTTCTAACCTTAGGGTTTCTCTAAAATCCGAATTTCTCTAGCTAGATGGGGGTGTAGAGAATTAGAGAATGTAACCCTAGGTTAGGGACCATAACCCCTTATTTATAGATGTTGTACATTTGTAATTTAGCCCCTCAATAAATCACAATTACAACCTGGTATCTGCACATATAACCCCATGACTTATTTAAATACCAAATTAACCCAACTTAATTGATCACTTTAGTGGGTTATCCTGAAAGATAGCAATACACATTGATTAATCATATGTGCCCACAAATAGATTTATTAGATTAAATCCAACAATCTCCCACTTGGGCACCATATGATTCCTTAAATTGTGTATAACCTTATGAGCTCAAAAATTGCTATCACTGAAAAGGTATTTCCGAACAATCTCGTCCATTGACTATATCAATATAGGATCAAAGCGGCCTTCGTCATATTTATCGTGACTCGACCCATCAATGGTCACATATACCAATACAATCAAATGAAATAGATCAATCATGGATGTGCAGCATGAAAATTACATGCAATGTGATCAGTACATGTCTATTTTCAACTGGTCCTCTTTAGTAAGGTCAAACACCAAACATAATGTAACAGAGTGTCTTAACTGAAAACTTTATTCTGATCAAACAATACAAACAAACATAAAGCACCACAAATACAAACTTTTATTTTCAAAACAGATCCAGAATTGGAAAAAATTGAAGGAAAAATCAAAGAAAAAGCCAAAAAATTCTAAAAAGTTACTGTTCATCAAAAAAATTCGTTACTGTTCATCCGAACAAAAATACTGTTCATCCGAAAAAATTTTCGTTACTGTTCGTCCGAACAAAAAATACTGTTCATCCGAAAATTTTCGTTACTGTTCATCCAAATAAAAAATTGAATCTTTAACCAGAGATTTAAGATCAAAAAACCCAATAAAACTTAAATCCCTAAGAATTAATCAAGGTGGCTCTGATACCACTTGATAGATCTACATCATAAAACTTGAGATCTAAAACCATATAGCCATGATTAATTCAAAGAGATTAACAAGATCAAAAGAGCGGAAGCTTATACCTGAATCCATGGATGAACCTTGAGATGGGTTTTGGATCTTCTAACCTTAGGGTTTCTCTAAAATCCGAATTTCTCTAGCTAGATGGGGGTGTAGAGAATTAGAGAATGTAACCCTAGGTTAGGGACCATAACCCCTTATTTATAGATGTTGTACTTTTGTAATTTAGACCCTCAATAAATCACAATTACAACCTGGTATCTGCACATATAACCCCATGACTTATTTAAATACCAAATTAACCCAACTTAATTGATCACTTTAGTGGGTTATCCTGAAAGATAGCAATACACATTGATTAATCATATGTGCCCACAAATAGATTTATTAGATTAAATCCAACATGATGAGGTAATCAAGCAAGTAGCCCAGTTGTACCTTTACATCATCTTTAATTTCTTGTACGCCAAGCAAAGAAAAGTTCATAAGAGGACTTGACTTCAACCAAAATAATTATACAAATGAAAAACTGAGCGAAATAAAACAAATAAAACAACGAATAAACATATAAAAGAACGTTGATTGCGACGGTAGTTTGTCCTTCCAAGTTTTGTCCTTTTCCTTACTATTTCTCCTTCGCTCCTTCCCTGCCGCCTCCACACGTTCCGAGAAGTTTAAAATAATAAAGGGAGGCAACAGAGGCACACCATTGGGCACACTTTCAGCCACACCCCCTCACCTGCTACAGTGCAGGGGGCCCCACATGGGATTTTTTAAAAAAATCTCATGTGGGGCCCCCTGCACTGTAGCAGGTGAGGGGGTGTGGCTGAGAGTGTGTGCAAGGGTGTGCCTCTAGTGTTTTTCAATAATAAAATGTACTTTATATTAAGAAGTCTTCTGGCATTATATTAAGAAGTCTTCTGGCATAAATCATGAAGGTCTGGAGGTCCCTTAATTTAGGGGGAATTTTAGGGGTTGTTCGTTTCGTAAAAAAAATTAGGAAATCAAAGAATAGGAAACCTATTTTCTATAATAATTGTTTTGAGGTTGTTTGGTTGACTTAAAAAAGAAGAAAACTATAGAATAGGAGATGAGATGAGATGAGTTGTCACCTTGTTATTGGATGATGTGAGTGATTTTTTAAAAAAAACTTGTTTTGAGGTTGTTTGGTTGGTTAAAAAAATAAGGAAATGAATTGGAGGTATATTATTGGATGATGTTTTGAGGTTGTTTGTGTTTGGTTCATTTTTAAAAATAAGAAAATAGATGAGATGAGATGAGTTGGAGGTATATTATTGGATGATGTGACACATACTTAAGAAAATTAATTTCTTGTTTTTTTTTTTTTTGAGAAAATGGATGGAAAGGAAGGTTTAATGAGATGAGATGAGTTGTCACAATATTATTGGATGATGTGTGTGATTTTTAAAAATGAGATAAGACGAGATGTGATGAGTTGGATGATGTGACACATTTCTTGTGTTTGGTTTATTTTTAAAGGTAAGAAATGAGATGAAATGAGATGAGTTGGAGGATAAAAATAGTATTTTATTGGATGTTGTGGGTGAGTTTTAGGGATGGAAATAGATAAAAATATTATTTTATTAGTTTCCTTGTACTGATTTCCTTTTCTTGGTTTTTAGGAAACCAACCAAACGGCCCCTTAAGGGAGAGGTTGGTTCTCCTCCAATGGTTTTTCCTTAAAAGTCTCATACTCCTTAATTAATTATGTTTAGTTTTTTAATTTTATAGATTAGAATTTAATTAAATATGTGGTTTATTTATAAATGAATAAATAACTATATATTAATAACTAAAACAATTAATTAATTTATTTAAATTAAGAAATTACCTTATATAATCATTAAATTAATTAATAATTAAAATTTAACAAATAATTAATTTATATAAATTGTGTTAAAAGTTAAATATTATTAAAAATATTAATTAGATAATCAATTAATAAAAATTAATTAGATAATAATTAATTTATATAAATTGTGTGAAAAGTTAAATATTAATTTACATAATAATTAATTTATACAAATCTATACTAGAAAAATACCCTATACTAGAAAAAACAACCTATAATTAAAACAAAATATTAATAAAAATTATAATAGAAATTATAAGGGGTACATTTTAAAAAATATTAATCAAATTAAATTAACTATACATTAACTTAATTATATTATTTTAAATTAACTTAATTATATTATTTTAAATTAACTATACGTTAACTAAATTTATTTAACTATAAATTAACTCTAAAATAAAATATATTAATATAAAATTATAAGGGGAAGGTTAAGGGACTTTAACCTTCCCCTTAATTTGAGGAGGAAGTTAAGGGACATGGGGGTGAAGGGGAAAATTTCCGGTCCCTGGGAAAATTTGCAAAATAGACCATTTTTATGAAATATATAGCGAAATAGACCACTTTAAAAAATAATTAGCAAAATAGACCTCTTTTGAAAAAAAAGGTCGATTTTGAAAAACAAGGCTCAGAAAACATACGAGACTACTAGTCCCGTATGTTTAGAGCCAACTAATCACGGATTAGTGACTCAGAAAACATACGGTAGTACTAGTCCCGTATGTTTTCTTAGTAGAAAATTTCACTAATCCGTGATTAAAACATACAGGACTACTAGTCCCGTATGTTTTCTGAGCAGTTTTGCAAAATAGACCTCTTTTTGGCCTGTTGGCCAAAAAAAGGTCTATTTTGCTAATTATTTAGCACAACGGTCTATTTTGCTAAATAAT